CCCTCTGCTCATTTCGCTGATTTGATCTTAGATTCATTCTTTACAAAGCCCTTCTTCAAATTGATTCAGGTTTTCGGGATCTGCTGGTATCTCTTTGATACTTTAGACCATCTATTATTGCTCTGACCCTTTTTCCTTTTTGCAGAATTAATCTTTGATTTATCCTCTAGAAACCACTTCCTCATACTCATTAAAGTTTGTAAGATCTGCTAGTATCTCTTCAACACTTCAGACCATCCTTTGTTGTTCTGCCTCTCTGCATTTTCGTTGACTGGATCATTTTTAAAAAAATCTTTCTCAACACTCATTGAAGTTTGTGATTCTCGATGGTGTCTCTTCGACAATTGAGACCGTCCCTTGTTGTTCTTCCTCTCTGCCCTTTACGCTGATTTTTTAATTCATTCACTAAAAAATCTTTCTCAACATTCCTTGAAGCTTGTGATTTTCGTTGGTATCTTTTCGCTACTTCAGACCGTCCCTTGTTGTTCTTTCTCTCTGCCCTTTTCCCCTATTTTCGTTACTCTTTATTCTTTAAAAAAAATTTCTTAACACTCATTGAAGCTTGTGATTTTTGTTGGTGTCTCTTCGACACTTGAAACCGTCTCTTGTTGTTCTTCCTCTCTGCCCTTTTCGCTGATTATTTTTATTCATTCTTTAAAAAATCTTTCTCAACATTCATTGAAGCTTCCGATTTTTGTTAGTGTCTCTTCAACACTTGAATCCGTCTATTGTTGTTCTTCCTCTCTGCTCTTTTCGCTGATTATTTTTATTCATTCCTTAAAAAATCTTTCTCAACATTCATTGAAGCTTGTGATTTTTGTTAGTGTCTCTTCAACACTTGAATCCGTCTCTTGTTGTTTTTCCTCTTTGCCCTTCCCGCTGATTTTTATTTTATTCATTCTTTAAAAATTCTTTCTCAACATTCCTTGAAGCTTGTGATTTTTGTTGGTGTCTCTTCGACACTTGAAACCGTCTCTTGTTGTTCTTCCTCTTTGCCCTTTCCGCTGAGCTTTTTCATTCATTCTCTAAAAAATCTTTCTCAAAATTCCTTGAAACTTGTGATTTTCGTGGCTGTCTTTTCGACACTTGAAACCGTCCCTTGTTGTTCTTTCTCTCTGCCCTTTTCCCTGAATTTTTGTTTCTATTTATTCTTTAAAAAATCTTTTTCAACATTCATTGAAGCTTGCGATTTTTGTTAGTGTCTCTTCAACACTTGAATCCGTCTCTTGTTTTTCTTCCTCTCTGCCCATTTCGCTGATTATTTTTATTCATTCCTTAAAAAATCTTTCTCAACATTCATTGAAGCTGGTGATTTTTGTTAGTGTCTCTTCAACACTTGAATCCGTCTCTTGTTGTTCTCCCTCTCTGCCCTTTTTGCTGATTATTTTTATTCATTCCTTAAAATATCTTTCTCAACATTCATTGAAGCTTGTGATTTTTTTTGGTGTCTCTTCGACAATTGAAACCGTCTCTTGTTATTCTTCCTCTCTGCCCTTTCCGCTGATTTTTTTTATTCATTTTGAAAAAAATCTTTCTCAACATTCATTGAAGCTTGTGATTTTTGTTAGTGTCTCTTCGACAATTGAAACCGTCTCTTGTTGCTCTTCCTCTCTGCCCTTTCCGCTGATTTTTTATATTCATTCTGAAAAAGATCTTTCTCAACATTCATTGAAGCTTGTGATTTTTTTGATGTCTCTTCGACACTTGAAACCGTCCCTTGTTGTTCTTTCTCTCTGCCCTTTTCCCTGAATTTTTGTTTCTATTTATTCTTTAAAAATCTTTCCCAACATTCATTGAAGCTTGTGATTTTTGTTAGTGTCTCTTCGACACTTGAATCCGTCTCTTGTTGTTCTTCCTCTGTGCCCTTTTCGCTGATTATTTTT